ATTTTCCTCTGCTATGCAAGGGGGCTGAGGAGTTCATGTTTACCATAATTAACCCCATACAGTGCTGGCAGATCTCGTTAAAAGTTGTAAACTATACTTGAACACAACAAAGGGTTAAGATCTAGAACAGGGGTAGGCAAACTCCGGCCCTCCAGCTGTGGTGCAACTACAAATCCTATGAGGCATTGCAAGACTGACAGCCACAGACATGGCTTCCAGAATGCACGATTGGTTTGTTAGTTTTACCACAGCTGGGGGGCCGAAGTTTGCCTATCCCTGACCTAGAAGCATTTTATATTAATGAGAGGAAGCTCGGTGTCTCCCCAGTCTGTCTGAAGAAATATCCAAAAAGTAAGAAATATATTTGTAAAAAGTTACGTTTTTCGTTATGCTGTGTGAACGGGAACACAAACGTTCAGCGCGTTTCCTTTGCAGTCTATAGAGCAAAATGAGCTTATTAGCGCTACAAAAGAAGCTCAGGGACTATTTCAAGCCACAGGTGTATTGTGAAGCGCAATTAAGCGCACTTGGGTGAACGGCCCCTGTAGGAACTCCCTGGTGTAAACAAAGCCTAACCGTCCCCTCCTCCTAAGGCTCTGTTCACACCTAGGTGTATCGAATATGTGCGTTTGTCGCACGTTTCGTGAAGCGCATTATACCGCGATTCGCGGTAAAAAAAAACACGCGACAAACACGCGTTTCCGAGGGCTACTTGGCTGTATCCCAATGGAAACGCGCAACAAAAACGCAGCAAAGAAGCTCATGTACCACGTTCGGACGGGCTGAAATACGGTAAGGTATGAACCATACCCATAGGAAACAATGGGATTTTCATGTTTGAGCGTTTTGTAGAGCGTTCGTTGAGCGTTGAACGCGCTACAAAACGTACAGGTGTGAACCAGGCCTAAGACCTGCTGCTCTCTAGCTCCCTCATCATCTCCCCAGAGTTCGCCTCCAAGACTTTTGAGTCTCTCCCATTCTTTGGAACTCCCTACCCCAACCTGTCTGGCTCCTACTCTGTCACCTTTAGGCGATTGCTAAAGACTCATCTCTTCAGGGAAGCCTATCCCACCTCAACCATCACGTTCTCAAACAATTCATCCCCACACAGCTACCTCCTCATGTATCACTAGCCCCTCCCTTTTAGATTGTAAGCCCTCACAGGCAGGGCCCTCCTTACCATCTTGTCTTGATTTGTATTGTAACTGTAAGGTCTTCCTTATATTGTACAGTGCTGAGCAAACTGTGGGCACAATAGGAAACCTCTATAATAATAATCTGTGGATCCTGCGCCTTTAAAAATAAGCCCCGCATATTTCTATGCTCACAGGTTCGCTACATCGTCTATGTCCTTGCTTGTTATCCTCTGCATGGTCCTTGTGCAGGTGACAGGTACACTTGAATGCACTTCATTAACGGCACTATAGCCAGGATAATAAAAATAAAAAAACCTGATGAATATGTGACACTTCACTTTTTTTTTCTTCTCCCTGCGACACCATCTGGTACGTGAACACGCACTGCCTGCGAGTGGAAAATGCCTTGTAATTGGGGGGCCTGTCATCGCAAAATTGGCTTGACTTTAAATCGTAATAATTGGATTTCAATTCCGAGCTCCCACTCGCGCTGAAGAAAAGGCTCTAACCATTTCAAAAGGGTTATAAAAGCGTTTCGCCGCTCTAATGAGCGCCGCGGCGCTTTCTCAGCCCACATGCGCGGTCAGAAACTTGACGGCCAGGCACTGTTCAAAAAAAAAAAAAACTTGATTGCATTGTAGCCGGGGCCCAGCGGAAAGTCTTCTCACTGCGGCGATTTGACAACAACGGTTCAAGGACGAAATTGCGGCGGGACGGAGCGGAATCATAATGCCGCTGCTCAGCCGAATCAAACGTTTAACTCGGCTGGGGGAAGATTGTAGAGGAGAGCCATCGTCGTTACCTTCGTAATTATGGCTCGCGCCGGCCTCACGGCTACTATTTTAATCAGGACGCTCAGTGGAGTCAATTCAGTGCCCATGCAGGGCGCCATAGTAGCCAGCACCTTGGTCCGGCGTGTGAAATACTAAAAATTATCCTTTATGCCGATTATGATTTAATCAATAATAGTTATCAGGAGTAGAAGAAAAGGCCCTTTACTACTCTAGAATGGGCGATGGGATAAAGCGCGGGTAAACGTTTCTCTTTGGATAGCGCAAAACTCCAGATTACAGTCCCGTTGGTTGAACTTTCCACTGCACCACGTTCTATGGGCCCATTCAGGCTGTTCTGATGCACTGTAGTGTAGGGCTGCAGCTAACTATTATTTTCATAATCAATTAGTTGCCCGATTAATCGATTAGTTGGTTGCATTAAACATCATTCTCTCTACTAAATCGATAATGGGAATAATTGCCAACTATTCTCATAATCGATTAGTTGGGCATTGTCCTAAAGCTGAACTCTGGCCTTCCCTTCAGTCTTGCACAGTTGCACCGGTGTTCTGTTAAAATCTCCAACCCATCGAGCTCACCGACTGGTGACGTCACATCCGGCGACTCGCCAGTAGCAGATTTAGACCAGATGGCGCTAGTGTGCGTGTGCCCCAGCGTTAGAATCCTCATCAGGTTATCGAGCTCCCGTCTCTGCGCCTGCGCGGCCTCACGATACCCATCGAGTTCTCCGACCCCAGTCAATGGGCCTGCGCAGTCATCCAATAGCGCGCCCACCCGTGGACAAAACATGTCATCTCACAGCATGTTGTGCCGTCGGATGGGGTCGGGTGCACTAACGCTCTTTGGAGGACTTGATTCTGCTGTGCAGTGACAGTGCAGGCGCACTAATTGGGGGTTGGAGAACTTGATGGGGATTGTGACTCCACGCAGGCGCAGTGACGGGAGTACGATGACTCGATGAGGATTCTGACAGTGGCACTAGCTGCACCAGCGCCATCTGGTCCAAATCTCCTATAGGCAAGTCACCGGGCATGACGCCACCAGTCGGAGATCTTGAAGAGTTGGAGCTTTCCACAGAACACTGACTCCTGTCCTGGAACGAAATGGCTTACTCTGATTTCACTGTAAGCTTCTCACAATGTGTATTAGAAGCTGCAGCAAGTCAGAAAGAGTCCACCTCATTTCCTGGCTGGAGGACGTCCACCATCATCTAGTCTAGCCATCTAGCCTTACTGTCCCTGGTCCACCCCTTTCATTCACTCGATTTCAGTTCTGTCAGTTATGGGGGGCTCAGAATCATAAGTAGGCGTTTGCTAGGGTGGTCTACATGGAAATACTGTCTGCCTAGGAATGCCCACTCCTTCAGACTGAAACCCACTCATCGAGGCACACTGCTCCCAAGAGCCAGCACACTGCTCCCAAGAGCCAGCACACTGCTCCCAAGAGCCAGCACACTGCTCCCAAGAGCCAGCACACTGCTCCCAAGAGCCAGCACACTGCTCTTGGGTCATAGGCGCACATTCATCAATGTACTCCTGTGAACCAAAATCAGCATACAGTGCTGAAAGTGCTATTAACTATTATCAGTGCAGTGCTGCAGCCAGGAAGGCTGACACTACTGTAGGGATCCACCAGACTGACTGACTGATTGAAAGCTGGCTCTGCCACTCTAGAGCAGGAACTATCTGTGTCCAACCACCCATCTGTTCTTCCAATCAGTGCTGGGGGAACAGGGAGGGGGGAATCCCTGCGGTGGGTCACTGCTCAACGCAGGGAGAAGAGACCAAGAGCTAAGGCATCAGTGGTCACATGATCGGTCAGGCTCAGTATTAGAGCTGGCCTATGACAGCTGTAGTGTCCCGCATTGGCTCTAAGCAACTGGAAGGTGGGGGAAGAGTATATTTTACTACCCCTGCACTTCTCCTTTAAGTACTACTAAGCTGGAGCTAAAAAGTACACAGGGGGCCACACTTCCATTGGGATACTTGTCCCGATACCAAAAATAACTTTACCCTAAACCGTATTTAACCGCGCTAAGAAGCGCTTCTCATTGGTCGCTTGTGGCCACATTGAGTGGGGCAACTCAGATGAATAACGTGCTGTATTAGTCTGACCCCAGTTCATTTTAATACTTTATTGCGGTGTAGTATGTGTATTAGGGAAATGGCGCGGGTGGCGCACGTGCAGTACAGCCTTCTCCGCCAAACCTCTTACTTCTAAGTAAACCGGAAGTCAGATGGTTGGAGATCTCGAGGAGCTGGAACTTTCGATAGAACACCGGAATAAAAACCCAACGGGTCTGTGAACACTCTACCCAAAACTCTGACACCCTTGGGGCTTCCATTTACATTTGTGTGGTACATTTTAGCGCACGAAAATCAGCCCCACCCCCTAACAACTTCTACTTTGACATCCACTGGCCAAAAAAAGACAACGCAAGTAAATCTAGTCTAGGGACGACATGCGTTAGTGCGCCATGGTAAGCTTACCAGTGCGGCAACGTTGTAGCGCAGCAATGCACGACCCTGCAGTGCTGAAAACTCAGCGTGTGCTATTTTTGTTCTGTGGACCCCGAGGTTTCCCGTGTTTAGCGCATGCACCGATTGGGTCCCTGGACATGCGGCAAAAGCGTGTAAAATTAGTACGTCGTAAATTTTCCCCACGTGTTCGTATGCATTCTCTTGCACGTGAGATTGCCTAGTAATGGCAACGCAAGCACGTTCTGCATGGATCACGAACATGCGTTGAAGCGTACACATTTGACACACGTTCACAATATGCCCTGGTATGTGTGGGGTCATGTGGTGCATTATGGGTTGCACCAACGTAACGCACATTTACACACAACACAAGGCGCCTTTAACGGACTGGGCTGACCATTTTGGCGTGAAAAGCGCATAGATCAGCCGCTAAGAAACCATCATGCTCATTAAAAATTACACAGCAACAAATGCTGGGAGTTGTAGCTCTACAGATCACGTGGCTGGCTGACACACACACACACTGCAGCCATGTGTTCTCCATATTCCAACATGGCGGCCCACAGCTTTCTACCACAGCTTCCTCTCACCTTCATACGCAGCAGGTTCTTGGACAGCTTCCCCACTTCAGCAGCCATGGCGGAGTCTATCAGCGGGTGAAAACCGGAAGGCAGCAAAAGCGACCAGCTCCGTGCGATACAAGTCAGCGGCAGGCAGCGCCAATCAGCACTGAGACATCGAGCGCCGCCGCAGGCTGAGTAATCGCTGGCCCAGCGCATGGATTGCCGGCACCACGTGACCTAAGAGAGTTTTCTAAGACAAGCGCTGTTACTGTATCCTAGCAACGGTGTGCAGCGGCTGCTTGTTATTGTTAATAGTATGATTTGCTCTATTGTGAATAAATAGCCCTTCTGCACTTACAGCCCCCCCGCTTCTTGTTTTGTCAACATTTGCAGCCTTATTAGATTTGTTGCATGTGTTTAAATGTTGTCACTTTTTTTTAAAGTGATGGTATATAAACGAGAAGTGTTGCTAGTGGCAACCATGTCTAACTTTCTCCAGACATAAGTGAAATTGGACATCACAGAGAAACATTAGTGTGCAATTTGTTCCTAAAGTCTGTTAAGTGACGCGCCACATCATTTTTTTACTCCGGTGTTCTGACGAAACAGGCAATTCGTCGAGATCGTCAACCGTGTCGCTTCGGGTGACTTGCCAGCAGGAGATTTTGATGAGTTGGCGGTTGTGCATATGCTTGTGTACCCGGCGGAATAACAGAAAGCCCATAAGAATACTCATCGAGTTGTGAAACTGCTGCCAGACTAACATCTTGTGTATTCCACATAATTAAACAGGACCCACTGCAAGCACCAAGCAAAATGAAGCCACTGTATTCGTTTTATACTTTCGCAGTTGCACAACTCAATGATTATTTTTATGGGTTTTGTGTTATTCCACCAGGGGCACGCGCATGCGCACTACTGCCAACTTGTCAAATTCTCCTGCTGGCATGTCATCAGAAGTGTCACGGTAGCTGATCTCGAAGAGTTGCCTGTTTCGACAGAACATCAAGCCTCATACTGGTGACTCACATCAGCCCTTCCCATCCTACCTTGGTTGAGATGAGTGTCTACTAGGGTTGCCACCTTTTCTTCAAGGGAAACCCGAACACTCTAGTGCCACGCGCAGAAATTTTTTTGGGGGGGAATATAGAGGGGAGGCAGCCAGGGAGGAAGTAAGGAGGCCAGCTATAGAGGACTACAAATCCCAGCAATACATTATACAGCAATACAAAATAATATAAAGCTACATACTATGTGTTGTTCCGGGGTGGCGCCCTGATGTCCCAGGATCTCAGGTGGGCTTTGCAGGCTCTCAGGTGGGCTTTGCGGACTCTCAGGTGGCTATGTGGACTCTCAGGTGGGCTAAGTGTGCTCTCAGGTGGCTGAGTGGGGTCTCAGGTGGGCCATGTGCACTCTCAGTTAGGCTAAGCGGGCTCTCAGGTGGATGTTTGAGGTCTCAGGTGGGTTATGCGGACTCTCGTGGGGTCTCAGGTGGGCTATGCGAGCTCTCTGCTGGCGTTGTGGGGTCTCGGGTGAGTTTTTGTACGAATCGAAAACCTGAAACAAATTGAATTTCCGTTCCGAATAGCGACATATCCGAAACAAACTGATGTTTTCCGCAGCGTATATATGTCTACTTCATAAAAGAAGTATAAGACATTGATTAAAAACAGCCATCAGGAAAGACTTCTGGGCCTTCTGTTGCTGCTTTAAGGGTATAATGTTGCTTTTCTGCTAAGTCTTATTATCAGCTGGACTGGGTAGTTTGGCTTCAGTTACTATATATATATATATGTATATATCAAGGCCCTCCTATCCCCTATATTGAATTTTTTAATTATTATTATTATTGTTATTATTATCTTGTCTGCCTGTCTTGCTGCATGTCACTGGGGAGGATTTAATCTCCTATTGCCTCCTATTAAATCAATGTGACGGCTTTCATTAAAACGTAGAGAGCAAGGAGAGAGGTGGTGACTGGCTCCAGGATTGGTAAGCACCTCTGGGATATTGCGGCTTACAGGCTCTATGGCATGATTTAGATGTTAATAACGTGTTGCCATCCAGATGCAGGTAAAAACAAAATGTGTAAAGTTAAAGGGGAACTCGAGTCTAGCCCAAAAACCTTTCAATGGCCGCTCTTTTAGTATAACCTTTCTATCAGGTGATGGGCACATTGCAGCAAAAATGCTGCTCCAGCGATATGCTTTGCCACATGAATATTTTCAACCTATGCGATGTCTAGTAAAATAGACAAGGGGTCTTGTTTGGATCTTCTACTGGTTTCCGCAGGAGACAATGTCCTGCACAAAACATGAACTCTACACCTGTCATTTAGTGAACTAGTAAAGGAGGTCCTATCTGGACCCTCTACTGGTGTAACTCAAGAGCCAGTGTCCTGTCCCAAAGAATAATCTCCCCACTTGTCATTAAGTGAACTAGTAAAGGGGTTTTATTTAGACCCTTTACTGGTTTATTCAGGAGCCAAAGTCCTGTTCCAAAACATGAACCCTCCACCAGTTATTTAGTAAACCAGTAAAGGGGTCCTCTTTGGGCCCCCTACTTGTTTTACTCAAGGCTCAGTGTCCTGTTCCAAAGCATAAACTGCTCTGTCCTTTTTAGACGCTATACTGCAGGTGTAGTCAAACTTCAGCCCTCAAGCTGTGTTGAAACTACAAATCCAATCATGCATCTTCCTCAGGAAGACATGCCTTGTGGTTGTCAAGGTAATTCAATGCCTTATGTGATTTGTAGTTTTACCACAACTGGAGGGCCAAAGCTTGGCTACCCATGCTCTACTGGTTTACTCAGGTCCTGTTCAAAAACATTTACTCCCCTTCCCTCGCTGCTGACTTTCAGTGTCCCCAGTGGGGTTCACCATGTGTATAGCTTAGGACTGAGACCTTTGCCCTACTTGGGGCGAGAGAAAATACAATCAACTAGTCCTTTAATGGTGAGGACAGATTTTTTTTGGGTTAAGGAGCCATGACCGTATAGACTGCCAGACTGCATGAAAACGTCCTTGAATACACATCTCTCTGTTGTAATTAAAGCAATGAAGCTTGTTCACGGACTGTCTCAATCTGTTATTATAGAGTAAAAGGAGCAGCAGCTTGCTAATGAGGTCATCCTTGTGCTCTGTCCCCCAGGTCAGTGATGTCACAAGGGGGTGTGACCCGCACCAGGTGGCACCATCAGAGGAGGTGACACCAAAATGACTGACAGTCAAAATGACTGACAGTTATTTTGGTGTCACCCCCTATGAAAAGTTGGGGCTCTCAGTCATGGATTGGATCCCGACAGCTGCACAAGAGAGGAGGGGAAAGGCGGCATGCCTCATGTCCCCTCCTCTCTTTGCCATCATTACCAAGATAACCGCCAGCAGTGAAGCGCACACCAGGTGACACACGGCGGCCGCACCAGGGGACACCGGGCCTAGTGGCGCCTTTACTCCAGTTAGTAAGAATACTGCGTTAGACTGACAGATCTGTGCAGCTTAGTGGAGCGCAGTTGGCTTATAGTGCTGCTTCTACCTTTACTTGGCAGCTATACCCTGTTTCCCCGAAAATAAGACCTACCCCGAAAATAAGACCTTGTACTATTTTTGGGAATTGCTAAAATATAAGACCTACCCCGAAAATAAGACCTAGTTGTTACCATTCCCAGTGCTGGTGGTGGCATACGGGGGGAACTTGAAGAGCCGCGGGAGAGAATCAGCGGTGCCAACGAAGAGAGCGCTAGAGGAAGCGAGGCGGTACCGAAGGGAGCAGAGCCACATAAGCCGATGCTTCCTCTATAGTGCCGGCTCCTGTCACAGTCACATGCCTGTGAGGAATCGATAGTGAAAGTGCGCTACGCTCATTCTGGCCAACGATTGGTTACCAAATTGCTCTTGGAAAGGTACGGCACCCCTGATTGCCCTGATCACCATATTATTGTACATGAATAAGTGTGGATTGTTGTATATAAACAAAAAATAAGACCTACCCCGAAAATAAGACCTAGTGTGTTTTTTTTGAGCCAAAAAAAATATAAGACAGTGTCTTATTTTCAGGGAAACACAGTATATATAAAGGCAGACTGAGCTTATATTTAAAGGAGAACTATGAGGTGGGTCATTTTCACTCACCTCATAGTTCTAGCCGACCTGTGACAATGAGACTGTCACAGGTCGGCTCAGTAGATCGGAAGGTGAGCGAACACATACCGGCGTTCGCTCACCTCTCGGGAGGGGCTGGATTCCCCGCTCCGATCCTCCAGCGCTGGCTGGCGGAACGGACAGGGGAGGAGGCGGGTACAGCTGGCTCTGCCTATCTAGAGGCAGAGCCAGCTGTCAGTCACACAGCTGCGGCGTTTCAATATACCGCGAGCAGCAGCTAGCAGTATACTGCGGCATCTCAGTATACCGCGAGCTACAGCTCGCGGTATACTGAGCCTAGGGTGATAAGAGGACGCTAGTTTGTGTCCTCCCGTTACCCTAAGGAGAATTATGGGGAAAAGCCTTAACCCCATAATTCTCCTTTAATAATACCTTATATTTTTTTTAATGGCTACACTGCTGGATTGAAAGTTTTTCGCCCGCCTATATTAGGTTAAGTGTTATATTTTATCCACAGGACCCGCCTGACAGATTTTATTACTTTAATTTGAAGGAAGAGAAAGGCAACTTTAGCTAAAAACCCACATTAAATGTTTTATCTTAAATACCCTGTAATGGCCATTTGACACCAGTATATTGTTTGACTGGGAAAGGTAATCATGTTAAATGACTGTTATTCTGTAGCAGTTTTAGATCAAATAAAGTTCAGGCGGCTTTCCATTTATCGGTAAAATAAATGAATCATTTTGCCCATAATAAGAAAAGAATGATGGGGTTTAGACAATCTGTTGAAAGAGAACCTGTCACCAGACAATTAATTTCTAGTGATGGGCCAAACACACCCGGGTTCGATTCGAGTTCGAATTTTCGAACATGAAAACAGTTCTAACTCGAACTTTGAACTCAATGCAAGTCTATGGGACCAGATCTCTGGAAGTCAATTGTCCCCATTTTGAAGCCTTATATGCAAGTTATTGGCCATAAAAAGGATATGGGGAGTTGGGTACTGCCCCGGGGAACATGAATTAATGAAAAAAAAC